GGGTCTGAGTTCAATCCCCGGTTCCACAAAAAAAATAAATAAAAAGTAAAGCCATATTAATATGCTGAGCTGTAAAAGGCTCATGTTAACAACTTCTGACATTGCCAGTCCTACGGATAACCCACTATATTGGACTATTTTGCTGAATTCACATACCTACAATATTATAATGGCAATGGAATACCTATCTCTGACAAAACTAAACCCCAAAAAAGGGGAATACAAATGAAGGACCATTTTGTATCTGTATGTACAAAATAGAATAGCTATACAGCTACTTTCTCTCAATTCAACAAGAAGAAAGATTTGTACTAAAAGTGGACAGGATATCATGTCTGCATCTTGTACTATGAATAATCACTACGAAGACAATATGCAATGTATTAATTATTGAAACTACTACTAATATGTTTTTGAAACTGTCTCATTGCTATGTGTTTCTCAAAATAAAAATAAAATTATTCAATGACAGGTGTAGTGGCATACATCTGCAATCTCAGCTACTCAGGAGGCTAAGACCGACAGACTGCAAGTTCAAAGCCAGCTTGGGCAACTTAGCAAGGTGAGACCTTGTCTCAAAATTTACAATAAAAATAATAAGGGCCAGGGGATACAGCTCAATGGTAGAACACCTTAGGCTCCATCTCTAGTAATGAAGGGAAAAAGAATTTAGTGATTTATGTGGAACAGGGGATCCTAATTGCTATTCACTCACTTTAATTGCAGTAATGATCAAAATACCATCATTTTAGATGGCTGCCAAGCCCATTTCTTCAACATAAAATCACCTTTCCAGCCACGAAAATATTCTTAAAGAATTTAAATATTACTAATATTGAGGTTTCTGTAATTTATACCCAGGGGAAAAAGTGGCTGAATACTGTCTCTGATGAGTACCTCATTGAATTTCACAATGAAACTAAGAGATAAGAACTGTTTGGTGTCACGGAAAGCACATGGTTCAATGGCTATTCACGTAATTAATTTTTTCTGCAGATAAGAAAAAGCCAAATTTAATGGTAAGCTTTAAGGTCACATAGCTAAAGATCTAATTTTGATTCAAGTACTGACTGGTAGATAGCTACAGAAAACTCGTATCTGACTACAGTACATTGTGTCACCCCTTACTTGTAGACAAGTACCCTTCTATTTTGTTGTTTGAGTGGTTTTTAGGGGACAGAGAATTTGAAGAATACAGTGGCAGAAGAAATTGTCATGTATTTCACTGCCATTTCTGAAGCCCTTTAGTTTGCCTAATACTCCTATAATTTATAATTAATGTTAAACTATATCTTGTGAACAGTAGCATAGTTACTGCTGGAAAACTGAACCTAAACATTCATCTAATTTGAAGTGAGCTGTGATGTCGCACGCCTGGAGTCTCACAAAAGAATCACAAATTCCAAGCCTGGCTACATAGTGAGACATTGTCTTTAAGAAAAAAAAAAAAAAAAATCATCAGAACTAGCCTCTCATTTTACATATTAGGAAAGACCCAAAAGCCTAAATAAGTAGTGAGGCTTTTGAAGTTCCTCTCCACCAGGCAGCATGCTTAAAGTGTAAGTCATCACCTGACTCCAGCCAAGTGCCCCATACAATGCGTTTTCCCACACAGGCAGTTTTTAGTTTTCAAAATAATTTAATTTATAAGCTATTGAAAGCTGTCTAGAAGGAAAGCACTTGTTTAGGAAGATTTCCCTGTTGTGCTACAAATGACAGAACATACCTTGGCAGAAACAATTATTAAGGGAATCAACATTTCATGCATTTATGCATTTAAGTATCATTACTTAATGATACCTACTCTGTACCAGTTCTAAAATATTAGGATCTATTCTAAGCTACCAAATAGATAAAATAACTTGTGCTTGAAAGTATCTGTTTATGTAAGACATGATGCTAATCCTAAACCTACATTTTAGCTGAAAAGGCAAGGGCAACAAAAAGACAATACTGCAACAGCATGTACATAAGCGACACCCTACATGGCAGAGGATACATTCAAGGATGATCAGCACAGGCTTCAGTCATTAATTTTATGGATTATAAATGGGCTGGGATTTGGATCTTATGCCATTGGCAAAAGCAGTTAATAACTTATTGATTTCCTACAATGTGCCAATTACCATTAAGTATGGATATATTTTTTGGCCAACCTGAACGTTTGTTTTGCTTTACTTCCATTTTATACATGAGAAAACAAAAAATTGTCACCTTTCCAAGTCTCCTGTGAAGTCACTGCTTACTGCTGAGGTGCACAGGATGGACTAGACCTTGTAATCACCCACTCAAATGACCAGTAGCAGGGCTCAATCTCTGGTTCTTCTGAATATCCAACTATTTTCCAGCTCTCCAATTGATACCCCCTTGAATAACTTTTATTTCCAAACTCAGTAAGCAAAATCACAGCTATCCTGTAATTCAGAACCATCTCAGCCTACCTCGATGCCTCCTTTTGGTCTTCTTTCCAAAGTTACAGAAAAGAGGTTAAGGTTCCTGAAGGTTCCTAAGTCAAGGAAACTCATCTCCAGAAGCAAAGATAGGGGGACCTCTAAGAGTGCCAAGGCAGGCTTTGAGAAAGGGACTCACCCCACTATAATGTCTGGCCATCTCCTCCAGTCTGAACACACTGCACTCCTTTGTAAATCCATCCAGCACACACCAACAGTTTCCATCTATTTTTCAGTCATTTCCAGTTTTTAAACATAGTAGCAACAAATGTGAACCTTCAATCTTCAGTAGGAGAATCACCGGGGTCTTAATTGATCCTGTGGCTCCACCTTTTAGTTTCTGCTTCACTCAGGGACGGAGCCTCCAAGTACAAGACTGAGGACTATTAACTAAACTCAGGGCTCGTCACATGCCTAGAACCTATAATTTTACAGTTGGTAAAACTGAGGTTTTGGGGTTGTTTTTTTGAGACAGGATCTCACGAGGCAGATTAGGCTGCCCTCAAACTCAGTGACCCTCCTGCCTTGGCCTCTCAACTGCTAGGATATGTGTACTGCCCCCACCTGACTTGATAAATTTACTATGTTCAGCATCACTGATGACAGAATAGAACTTCAGCTCCATTCATCTAAATAATCCCATTAAATGTATTAAACAAAATTTTGAAAATCTAGGATTTTTTTTTTTTTTGGGCAGAACTGGGGATTGAACTCAGGCTCTTGCCCTTACCAGGGAAGCACTTATTCTAC